TATATATATATTTGTTTATTTTTATTTGGTGTGGAGGAAATGTTTATTATTATTATCAATGATGCAGACATTTGTGTTGCTTAATATTTTTGTGAATTCTTTGAAAAATAGGAAGTTCAAAAACAGCATTTATTTATTTATTTATTGCTATATTAAAATGTATTTGTAAATGCTGACAAATACTTGAACTACTTTCTTGTCTTCATTTGCTATTGTCTTTCTTCTAAATCTTCTCTCTATCAATATAGCCTTTTTACTATTAGTTTTTACACATTGTTGTTCTATCAATATTTAATTAAATAAAATATAGTCATAGTTTTCTGGTAGTCATATTTTAGGACAAGAGAGAAGGCTATAGGGGCCTTTTAGCCCTCTTTGTTTCAGTGACTTCTACCCGATGTCTTCATGTTATGATGCAAGGATGTTCCCCCTGGAGCAACTTACCTCAGGTGTTAAGCGTCTTGCTCAAGGGCACAGTGATAATAGTTCATGGATTGCCCTTGCAGGGCTCAGACCTACTATTTCTTTGGTTGTCTAGCACAGATCTTTGACCACTAGACTGCACTACCCCGGTTTTTCTGTGCCTGTACGTATTAATGCACAGGTGTGCTTGTTCTATCAAAGCTAATGTAAATAACCTCACACCTGAGAGTCCATAAGGGTTTCAGTGCCGCTACTCGATGCGGCAGGTGCCGTTTCATCTTTGCAGTCACCTGAATTTGACTCTAGACAGCAGAGCTTTTCAAAGAGTCCTGCAGATGATCACTTTTGATTCACATCAACTGAGCCTCTGAAAAATACATCATTCTTTTTGACACTAAAGAAGATATGGAGAAGTCTGTGTTGATAGCATCAGAGGCAGGATTCATTGAAAAGCCCTCAGGCACTGTTTTTTGTACTTTTCACATCTACAACCTTTTTGTGACTGTCCATCAGAGAACCTGAGCTTGGTTGCATCATTTTCAGTCTTTAACAGCTATCATCGTAAAGCTAAATTTAAGTGTAAGCTTTTGTCATCTACTTGATTTAAGAGGAGTTTTTTTACATGATCACATAAATTTAAATAAACAGTTCACTTTTTTACAAAATCTGGTATTATTTTTTCTGCCTCATGTTCCAAACCTGTATGACTTTCTGTCTTCTGTGCAGTGCAAAAGGTACATTTGTAAAGAATATCCTGAGCACAGGTTTTCTTGATGTCTTGAAAATGAATGAGGACTGGGCCAGTCAAGCTTCAAATTGACAAAAAAGCACTGTAAATTCTCCTGTACAATATTTCAGTCTATTTCTCACACAAAGCTATCATATGGAATGTAAGACTGGGAATATCGTGTCATATGGACTACTTTAATGAGACTTTAATGGTGCTTTTGTGTTCTTTTTGAAGCCTGAAAGCCTGTTCATTGTAAATGCATACAAAAGAGCAACCAGAATATCTTTGAATATGTCTGCTTTTGTATTCCCTGGAAGAAAGAAAATCAGGTTTGGAATGACTTGAATACATGGCATAAACTAATACTTTAAAGCTTACAGTATGTTACAGTTCCGCATGGCAAACGCTTGGTCCAATCAATTATTTTTTTTTTTTTTGTCTCTCTGGATAAATCAAGGAAATTGGACGTATGTTATGTTATTTTTTATTTTATTTTTTTTGCTTGACAGATAAAGAGGTGGTTCAGCGAGGCAGGGTGATAGAGAGGGGAGAGGTGGCTGTCGGGACACAGCTGGTCCAGGCCATTCCTCCTGGACTCTTCTGGAGGTTTCACATTACGGTTCACCACCCCGAGTATGTGAAGTTCAACATCTCACTCACGCGGGATGCTCTGCTGGGCATCTACGGCAGGAGGAATATACCACCTACTCACACGCAGGTAATCACATGCAAACACAAATACAGAAAATATAACACAAGTTCTTTCTTTAAGAGAGTTGCACATTGTGTTATTGTGTATATATTTATAATATGGCTGTTAATCTATTAAAAATGTATGTAAAATTAATTACAATAAATTAATCACATATTGATATTTGCAAAGAAGAGCCCCTAAATGAAGATAATTTAAAGAGTTCCTTGCCATTTTTGCCTTTGGCTTACTCAGTTGGGGTTTAAAAGACAATTAATATAAGTAGGGCCGTTTCTAGGCATAGGCGAGCTAGGCGGTCGCCTAGGGCGCCACCAGCTGAAGGGGCGCCAATGAGTGCACGTACTGGCACTTTTAGCAGGGTTGTGATAAAGAGTGGCACGGTCACCCTGAAATATGACTGCCGCCCCCACTGGATCCCCCA